CAAGAACACCATCTTGGTTTTACAATTTGGAAGTGAGTAGGGGAGCACCGAAAATGTCTTTTTATGAATCCTATTTAAGTGTTGTATCTTTAGTATTTTATACTGTTTTATTGTTATAATCTGGCGTTATGCCCCTGTTAGCCGCCCTGAGCCTTCGGGGAGGGCGGGATATAAATCCAAATAAATAAATAAATAAATAAATATTCAGAGAGGTGGCTGAATGAAGCCTGCCCCCGCCTCCTGCCTCTGGTATTCCAAGGAGGTCTCCCATCCAAGCACTTGCCAGAGATGATCCTGCTTAGCTTCCGAGATCTGATGGGATCGGGCTTGTCTGGGCTATCCAGGACAGTGTTACATTCCTGAGGCTATGTTACTTGTTGGGAGATCTGTTCATCGATCACCAGCATCACGCAAAAACTTCTCAGCCCAACTGTGGAGCTGCCTTTAAGACAGACCCCCTTCTCACCTGCTGGACATTTTGCCCCTTGGTGACGTATTCGTTCCCGACCTTCACCCGCGGATGGCAGAGCCCCTTCAAGAGGTCAGCTGAGTTCAGCCCCATCAGATAGGCGGATTTATCTGCATCTGGAAGGGGAGAAAACATTTGGAAATAAGTCTACTGGGTGCCATTACTGGTCACCCTTTGAATATCTTATGCTCTCCTTTCCCATTCATTAGTTAAGAAGATTATAACCAAGAATGTGCAGCCAATGACTACCAAGTTCACAGTATAAAATTAAGCAACAATTCAAATATACAGTACACTAAACAGTGATGGGGGAAGGAAGGTGGCACGGTATCGGCCAATCTCGTTGTTATGTATTGGGACTGAATCATTCCAGGTATGTCACACCAGAGACTGGCTGAGCTTGGAGCACAAGAACAATAGCCTACCAGGACTCTGGAAGTAACCAATCACGTAGTAATGTTATGTAAATAGCCTATCATTGGGAGTGGGGTGTGTTTGGGTGTGCCAACTGCTATTTAACAGAGCTGAAGCTCTGGGGATTTTGTCTTGCTCTTGCTGAAATCACAGATAAAGTTGAGCTGATTTTGAGCCTGCTCATCCATGGAACCCACTATTTAACACTCGTCAGATCTCAGAAGCGAAGCAGGATCGATACTTAGAATCCTAGAATCATAGAGTTGGAAGGGACCTCCAGGGTCATCTAGTCCAACCCCCTGCACAATGCAGGAAATTCACAGATACCTCCCCCCCACACCCACAGTGACTACTGTTTCATGCCCAGAAGATGACAAAAAACCTCCAGGTTCTTCAGCCAAATTGCTTCCTGACCCCAAAGTGGTGATCAGCATTTCCCTGGGCGTGTAAGAAAGGGCCACAAGAACTAAGCACTGAGGCAGCCCTTCCCACCCTCCCTCTCATGCTCTGCCCAAGTGCACAGAATCAGTGCTGACAGATGGGAGATGGGAAGGGAGATCATCAAGGAAGACTCTACAGAGGACGGCAACGGCAAACCACCTCTGCTTCCCACTGGCCTTGAAAGCCTCTTGTCTGGGCTCACCGCAAATTGGTTGCAACTTAATGCCACAGGCCTACATAAACAGTGACAGAGCAGTCCAAAAAGTTTTCAAATATTCTAACCCAGGGGTGTCGAACTCATTTGTTATGAGGGCCGGATATGACATTTGTTATGAGGGCCGGATCTGACATAAAGGAGACCTCGTTGGGCCGGGCCATGCGTGTCATAAAATGTAATGCCAGGTAGCAGAAATATAAACTTTATATAGGACACAAACACAAAGGGTTTTTTTAAACTTAAAATAAAAACATGCTTAAAACATTGGCACTCTTGCAATATTTTGTTTATTTAACAGTGTCTGAAAACTGACACCTCTTGCTCTGAATTATTGCATCAAAATGTCTGTGCTGTTGCAATCTTGAGTATGCTGTTCAGGTGTATAACTGTAAGCTGCAAAGCTATGTTGACGCAGCAGCAGAACTGGAAGAAGAAGCAGAAGACAGCCGGTTCCACTGTGGGCCTGATAGAAGCCCTCCGGGGGCCTCATCCGGCCCCCGGGCCGCATGTTTGACACCCCTGTTCTAACCCTAACAATAAAACTAACGTAGTTTCAGAGAGCGGCTGTGTTGGTCTGCAATAGAAGAGCTAGGTTCGAGTCCAGTAGCACCCTACAGATCAACAAGATTTTTGGGGTATCTGATGAAGGGAGCTTTGACTCTTGAAAATGTTTGCCTCCCAAAATCTGGTTGGTCTCTAAGGGGCTTCTGGACTCAAACCTAGTTCAATAAAACCAAAATGAAAAGGGGGGGGGATCCCTAATAATAAAATTACAATAACAACAAAATCTACCATAAAACAACACAAACGTTTGTCGCTCCGAACAAACGAGGAGCCCCTTAAACACACGCCAAAAGCCTAACAAGAAAGAATAGTACTCATTTGGTTCCTAAAACTAGACAAGCTTGGCACCGAGCGAATACCCATGAGGAGCAGGGCTATTTTTGGGCAGGAACGCACAGGAACGGAGTTCCGGCTGGCTCCTGAGTTGGCCACGCCCAGCAGGAGCTCATTAGCATAACAGGCCACACCCAACAGCAGAAACTCATTAGAATTGGCTACATTAGGGGTGTGTGGCCTAACATGCAAAGAAGTTCCTGCTACAAAAAAAGCCCTGGGGTTTGACAACAAACAACGTAAACAGAATAAGAAGCAAAAGGTGGGTGTGGCTGGATGGCCACACTTCTGGTAACCTGGGGGGGTGGCCTAATATGCTAATGCACTGTACTATCAGGGGTTTTGGCCTATTATGCTAATGAGTTCCTGCTGGGCTTTTTCTACAAAAAAAGCCCTGGTGAGGAGGGACCTCTAGAGCTGAGATGCCTCTACCAAAAAGGCCCTGCCTCTGTTGGCTACACCTTGGGAGGCTTGGCTGGAGAATCAGCCCTACACACTCAGCCCTTCAGACCTCTTCCTTGGAGCGTCTTTTCATCCCTCGACCGCCCCCTCTGCCTTCTCCCTGGCGCAATGCCCCTCTTCCTCTCACCCTCGGTCCCATCTGGCTCTGCCTGTTCCTCCCGCTGCTTCTGCTTGAACTTCATGTTGCCGTAGTGCATGATGGCTCCCGTCAGCTTGTACACGCCGACCTTCTCCTCTGGAGTGAAGCCCAGGACATCAAAGGCGCTCTGTCAGGGCAGGGAAGGGGAGAGACGCGGGGTAAGAACCAGCGGGGTCTAATTTGGATCCCTGTTGTCTCCCGGTAGCGGCTGCTTTTCCTGGCCTGCCATTCTGGTACCTGCCTGGAGGTGGCTCTGCTCATCCTCTAGAAGATAGCTCCACCCCCTCAGAGTCAATTGGACTGCAAGGGGCTCTGGCCTGCTATAAATACTTCCAGGGCAGGTTTCTGGCTTTGTTTGAGCCAGGTAGTTGTACTTGGCTTGTTGTGTTGTTGACTTCTTCCTGCCGTAAATATCTGGGTGGGACCTTTGACAGGTTACCCTATACCATTTTCATTTAGCTCCATCAGGATTGCCGTCCGCCAGGTGGGACCTGGAGTAGGGTTGCCAGGTGGGGTAAATGGGAACAATTTTTGTTGTTGTTGTTGTTCAGTCGCACAGTTGAGTCCGACTCTTCGCGACCCCATGGACCATCTCCCGCCAGGCCCTCCTGTCTTCCACAGTCCTCCGAAGTTGGCTCAATTTCATGTTTGTTGCATCGATGACACTGTCTAACCATCTCATCCTTTGCCGTCCCCGTCTTCTTTGACCTACAATCTTTCCCAGCATCAGGGTCTTCTTCTCCAGTGAGTGCTCCCTTCTCATTTGGTGGCCAAAGTATTTGAGCTTCAGTTTCATTATCTGGCCTTCCAGGGAACAGTCAGGGTTGATTTCTTTGAGGATTGACTGATTTGTTCTTCTTGCAGTCCAAGGGACTCTCAAGAGTCTTCTCCAGGGAACAATACGGGTCATTTAAACCTCCAGTATTTTTTTCAGTTTCCCCCCCTGACAGTCAATGAAAATACTGGACTGTCCAGGTCAATACTGGACAACCTGGCAACTTTAGCAACTGATCTCCAGATAGGGTTGCCAAGTCGTTTTCGAGCCCCAGCGGATGACCGTGGCCCCGCCCCCAGCGTGCCCGGCGTCGTCACGTCACTTCCGGGGGACCTGCACGTCGGGTAGGGTTGCCAGCCTCCAGGTGGGGCCTGGGGATCTCCTGCTTTTACAACTGATCCCCATCTGACAGTAGTGTGAGCTAACTCACAGGTTTTTAGCCTCCAGCTCACCCATTTTCATCTCAGCTCAGGGAGCAGGGCTCCAGAGCAAACTAATTTATGCAGTAGCCCAATCGCTCGCTCACAACTTTAACGCCAGTCGCTCACAAAGCGGAATTTGTGCTCACAAGACTCTACAGCTTAGAGGGAACATTGGTTGCTAGCCTCCAAGTGAGGCCTGGAGATATCCTGGAATGAGAGTTGCCAGGTCCTTCCCTTCTGCCAGCAGGATATGGCACACATGCTGCAATGACGTCACCCGGAAGTGACATCATCATGCCGGGCATGTTGTGCAGGGGACGCTCTAGGATTTGGCTAAAAACTCTATGGTCACCATAGCATTTTTAGCCAAAGAGTATCCCCAGTGTCATCATGCCAGGCATGTTAGGCATAGGAAAAACCAGGAACACAGCCAAATCAGTGGAAGAGAGCCAGTTTGGTGTAGTGGTTAAGTGCGCAGACTCTAATCTGTGAGAACCGGGTTTGATTCCCCACTCCTTCAGTTTGGGCCTAAAGATCTCCTAGAATGACAACTGTTCTTCCAATGACGGAGATCAGTTTTGTGGGAGAAGATGGCTGCCTCGGAGGGTGGACGCTATATAACCCACTGAAGTCCCTTCGCTTCTGCAAGGCGTACCCTCCCCAGGCTCCACCCTCAAACATCCAGGAATTCCCCAGCCCAAAGCTGACCAGCGCACTCCCCACTCAAGGTCACTCACATCTGTTGCCAGCAGCTCCTCCGAGTCATCGATGGAGGCCACGGTCACCTCTCCTTGGGAGACGTAGTTGTAGTCGTAGGGGTTGTTGGTAACCAAGAGCAAGTCTGTTTGGAGGCAGAAGTGAGGACGAAACAGGTTGAAAGTAGTCGGGTGATGTAGAGATAGGGTTGCTGCTATCCCCCTGATGCAGGCCCCAAAGAGCCCTGCTCCCAAAGAGCCCCGTCCCGTCCAACATTCCCAGCACAATGACGTCACCCAGAGGTGACATCATAGCGCAGGGGACACTCTAGCATTTGGGCAAAAACTCTATGGTGACCATAGAATTTTTTTTGTCCAAATGCTAGAGTGTCTTGCCTGATGTGCCCAGTGTGATGACATCACCTCAGAAGGCTGGACACCCCGCCCCGTCAGCAGCCAGGTAGGACCTGGCAAACCTGTGAAGAGGGCCGACTTATCCATTAGGTATAGTGCCTGTACCCCATGATACTTTTGGGGGCCCAGGAAAATGTTTTAATTTCTTTTAAAATCAGAAGGAGAAAAAAGAACTTTTAGGGTTGAAGGAAAGGTTTTAATTTTTTTTCTCACATCAGAAAAAAAAAAAGATGAGATGTTTAGGGCCCTTGAAGATCTTTTGCCTAAAACCGTGGGGGGGGGGGGGTCGAAGCGTTTAAAGTTATATCAAAAATAATTTTGAATTCAACAAAAACAATTTTTTAAAATACTGATATTATCATGGCGGAAGGGGCTCGTGAAGGCAAAAGTGCCCAGGGCTCAGAAAAGTCATAATGCGGCCCTGGTGATGAACTGGAAGGAGGTTTTGGATGCTGGGGTAGAAAGCCAAAGAGAGACCGATGAGTGCTGGATGCACACCCAGGCTGCACTTCTGGTTTTAAACTGAAAGGTGCCATTGCCCATAAGTTTCGATCAACAGCGAATGGTGCTGCTCTATCCCTGTCATCTCTATGGTCAAAACCACATATCTTTTGCATTGGTGATCTGAGTGGCAAAATAACAACAACAACAACATCAACATCATCAACAACAACAGTAGTAATAATAGTAGTAATAGTAATAATAATAATAATAATAATAATACCACCAGAAGACCCAAAGAGGTGTCTTCCTCCCTCTGCAAACTAGTCACAAACTCACAGGCCCGTCTAGGGTTACTAGATTCCAGGCTGGGAAATCCATAGAGATTTAGGGGTGTGGCCCGGGGAGAGTGAGGTTGGGGAAAGGAGAGACCTCAGTGGGTTAATACCATAGAGTCCACCTTCCACAGCATTTTCCACAGTGATTTCTCCCTCCCCTTCCCAACCCCCACTTCCTAGGGCTTCGCTTTCAGCCTAAAGTTGGTGACCTATCCCCTGCACACTACCCAGACTCAGCCCAAACATCATATGGAAGAAATCATGGGTCGCATCTAGCACCACGGACCCCCAAGATGACCTGGTGCCCTAGAATTCTGGGTCCCAGTCCTCTCCCCATCTTGGAGCCCCAAAACGTAGGGGAGGGAAGTTTGTTCAGTCATAGGTTAATCATCTCCCTGCGGGTGTATCTGGGAGAGGGCGGGGTTTGGGGAGGGGAGGGGCTTCAACATGGTACAAGGCCATAGAGTCCCCCCTTCAAAGCAGCCATTTTCTCCAGGGGAGCTGATCTCTGTCAGCTGGAGATCAGCTGTAAAAGCGGAGGATCCCCAGGTCTCACCTGGAGGGTGGCAACCCTACTGCTAAGGACCCAGCAGAAACTTGAGTTCTCCCAATCTGTGCACCCACCCACCCCCACAATGAAGACTCACCCAGTAGCTCTGGTTTCTTGTTGGACAAGATCTGGTAGAAGATGTGGTAGTTCCTCTCAGATTTGAGCTGGAAAATAACACGGGACTTCTCCAGGAGGTCTAAGAGAGTGAATGTGAAAATGAATGGATAGATGTATTGGAGGGAGGGTGGTACATACGGACGTGAAGAAAGCCGCATGGAATGGGGGAAATATCAGCCACGGCGTGGCCAGATGGGAGAAGGAACATTGTTAGAGATTTTATCTGTGCACCCACCCACCCCCACAATGAAGACTCACCCAGTAGCTCTGGTTTCTTGTTGGACAAGATCTGGTAGAAGATGTGGTAGTTCCTCTCAGATTTGAGCTGGAAAATAACACGGGACTTCTCCAGGAGGTCTAAGAGAGTGAATGTGAAAATGAATGGATAGATGTATTGGAGGGAGGGTGGTACATACGGACATGAAGAAAGCTGCATGGAATGGGGAAAATATCAGCCACAGCGTGGCCAGATGGGAGAAGGAACGTTGTTAGAGATTATTTTTAATTAGAAGAGTAGAAAACAAAGGGAAGGGGTGGGACCACTGCGGGAAGCCAGAAGAGGGGAGGGGAGTTAAAGAAAGGGATATGGGTTGAAAATATTGATTTAATGTTGAATTTGTTATAATATCCTATTAATAAAATGTTTTTTAAAAAAACGTTGTTAGAGATTTTTAATGGGAGAAGAAAAGTGGTGATGTCAACGAAAAGCAGGAAGCGGGAAGAGTGGAGGAGCGAGGGTCCCTTCTTGAACCTCCTTCTATCTTCCCCATGTTTATGTAAATCGTAACATAGAAAGGAAAGATATTTAGGTGCATTGAACAGGCCTGGAGGAGTAGCGGGACCCAGGTTCAAATCCCTGCTTGCTACATAGCAGAGATATTCACGGGATCACGTTGGGCCCTAGTCTACAGTCTCTCTCTCGGCCCTGGTCTACGTGCAGCAAAACTGAGGTGGTAAAGAGGGAGCTGAGTGCTGAGATCATAGAACAGACAACCCCATGACTGGGAACATTTGTCAAAGTTCCCTAACGTTAATAATTCTGTATAAGTGGGGAGCTAGGCCAAAACCATTCTCCCATATATGCAAATGATTTTTCTTCGCAGGCAGCTTTTACCTGGAGAAAACTTTTACATGGAAAAACACTCCTCTACCATTGCGCCTAATCGCCCACTGCTGATCAATGTGGCTGCAGGAGAAAGAAGGGGCGTGGATGGAGTCACCAATGCCACTGCGACGCTCTAGGAATTCCACTAATCTCTATGGTTTTTACCATAGGAATGTGTGGGGTTCCTATAGTGTTGCATAGGTTTGCCAGCACCAGCTTCGGAAACACCTGGCGATTTTGGGGGTGGAGCCTGGGTTTGGGGAGGGGCGGGACTTCAAGAGGGTATAATGCCATAGTAGCCACCTTCCAAAGTGGACATTTCCTTCAGGGCAACTGATGATTTGTAATCCCAGGAGTCTCCTGGAGATTACTTGTAATCCCAGGAGATCTCCAGCTACCACCTGAAGGATATAAATACAAAAACTAAGGGTCACAGTGTTAGGAAGATATGCAAAAGTATATAGCACTGTGTATAATAGATGTATGCTCAAGGTAAATCAATTTTGTGCTTTTTATTTTTTATTTTTCTATCCTGTTATATAAATATTAGTATCAAATATGATCAAAAACAGGCTTCACCCAAACAGAACATCAAAGTGCAGGTTTATATTCTGTACAAATATTCAGACAGCGCTTTGTCCGTATCACAATCACTAGTTCCACGGGACTCTAGTAATTCACCCGTTTCGAATACAATCTTTTTCAAGGACTGTGATGTATATAAAGAACATAAAGCGCTCAGCAAACCCCCACATTTGCGGCTACCTGATAGAACTTGAGGGATATGCTCTCCTAGATAGGTTATTATGTCTGCCGCAAGGGTTCCGATGGGACCCTAGAAAATATGCTGCTATCTTAAGAGTTTTTGTGCACACACAGAGAAATTATTGCACCTTATGTCCTTTATATACATCACAGTCCTTGGAAAAGACTGTATTCGAAACGGGTAAATTATCAGAGTCCCCTGGGACTAGTGATTGTGATACGGACAAGGTGCTGTCTGAATATATGTACAGAATGTAAACCTGCACGTTGATGTTTTGTTTGGGTGACACCTATTTTTGATCCTACTCGATACCAACGTTTATATAACAGTATAGAAAAAGAAAAAAAGAAAAATTAAAAAAGCGCAAAATTGATTTACCTTGAACATACATCTATTACATACAGTGCTATATACTTTTTCATAACCACCTGAAGGACGGCAACACGGGGGAGATCCGGGCCCTGCGGGACCTTGAGCAGTTCCGCAGGGCCTGCAAAACGGAGCTCTTCCGCCAGGCTTTTGAGTAGGAGCCGCCGCCCTACTATACCACCACGCGGGGCTTCCTCGCACTCCCGCTGGCCTTGCAGGTCCACCGCTGGGCCCCTGATGTCAGGGGGTGTGGCATATGCTAATGAGTTATGCTAATGAGTTCCCCTAGCTCTTTTTCTACGAAATGACCCCTGGACACTAGTAACTGGATAGAGCACTTTAGTCTTAGTTTTGATGTTTTATTATATTTTTATATGTTTTTACTTATGGCTAGACTAATGATCTGGCCTCTGTTAGCCGCCCTGAGCCCACTGGGGAGGGCGGGATATAAGTGTGAAAAATAATAAATAAATAAATAAGAATGGTGTGTCACATCCAGGTTTTTGACACAAAGAACTGGGGCATCATTACCTGTGTGTGCGTACTATGTATCGTCCCCATCCTTTGGTCTTAATCTGGGGCATATATGCTACGAAAAGAATAGAAGGACCACGTATGTGTGGGTCAGGGAAGGAACTGGGAGACAGAGGTAAAAGGGTTGGCCAGGCAGAAAAGTAAGTCAGCAGAGATAGAAAGAAAAAACGGTTATTCAGACGCGGAGCAGTTCTACTCAGGTCTACTCGGACATTAGTCAGTGTTACTCAAAAAGGGGGTTGCTCCCAGGAAAGTGTTTTTAGGATTGCAGTCATAGGTAGGCACATGGATGAGACAGACAAACACACTTCCTCACTCACAGGTTTCTACGTCGGCGGACGCCAACTTTCCCGTCGCCCCAAAATGGATTCGGATAAATTTACCCTAGACAGAAACACAAAGGAATGAATGCGTGGCATGAGGGGCTGACCCCGGACGAGGGAGACCAGGGTTCCGATCGCCCACTTGAGGTAAAGTTCAGCGCCCGCTGTGAGTATGACATTTTATGTGGGAGATCCGTAATCAGATCCCGGGAAGTATTTTTCAACCTTAAAAAGCAACTGCGCGTAGGTGCTTTTGGATCAGAGGTGTGAAGACTGCGTGTGTTAAATCTTTCCCGCCATGCAATTTCCCCGGTAGAACTCTCCAAGCTGCGATTAAAGGGAGGAAAGAGACACAATCTATTCTTGGGGTTCCTTTGCGAACTGGAGGGGCTCCTCCTCGGTGCGATTTTGGGGTCTTCTTGGTCATTGGACTGGTTTTACAGAAAGCCCCCCAGAGGAAGTCCAAAATGTGCCCTCAGTGGACTATCCGTAATAAGGCTGGCTTGTAAAATCATTTGATTTCTGAGGTGTTTTGACTGAGGCCACTGAGGGGGGGGGGGCACTGGTGAGGCTGCAGAAAACTCTGCTGACTTCAGTTTTGTGTCTGTGGGAATGAATTTGGGAGTCTGAGGCAGTGCTCCCTCTAAGCTTTGGAGTCTTGTGAGCCAAAATTCTACTTTGCGAGCCACGGGCATTAAAGTTGTGAGCGAGCGATTTGGCTACTGCAGAAATTGGTTTGCTCTGGAGCCCTCCTTCCTGCGCTAAGGCAAAAATGTGTGAGCCGGGGGCTAAAAAACTGTGAGCTACCTCACACTAACTCAGCTTAGAGGGAACACTGGTCTGAGGTATTTTCTGCCTGTCGGCACATCGTTGCTAGCTGCCTTGAGTCCTCAGAAAGAAGCAGGATAGACATATTTTAATAAATAAAATATGGGCGCTCCTCTTATTTCCCTGTTGTTGTTGTTGTTGTTGTTAGCCATTCCGTCGTGTTCGACTCTGTCCCTACAGGGGCCAATAATCTTGAGGTGGAACATTTGATCACAGGCTGCCTTAAATTGAATGAGACCATCGGTCCACCAAGGTCAGTCTCCTCAGACTGGCATAGCGGCTCTCCAGGGTCTCAGGTTAGAAGTCTCTCACATCCCCTCCTGCCTGGTCCTTTTAACTGGAGATACCATGGCCTGAACCTGGGAACTTCTGCGTGCCAAGCAGATGCTCTACCACTGAGCCATGCCTTCGACTGAATCAGACCAGCGGTCCATCACAGACAGTATTGTCTACTCAGACTCTCTCTCTCTCTCTCTCTCTCTCTCTCTCTCTCTCTCTCTCTCTCTCTCGGGTCTCAGACAGAGGTCTTTCACATCACCTCCCACCAGTGTTCCCTCTAAGCTGAGTTAGGGTGAGTTAGCTCACAGTTTTTTAGCCTCCGGCTCACACATTTTTTATCTCAGCTCAGGAAAGACGGCTCCAGAACACACTATTTTATGCAGTAGCCAAATCACCTGCTCACAACTTTAATGCCAGTAGCTCACAAAGTAGAATTTTTGCTCACGGGACTCTACAGTTTAGAGGGAACATTGCGCCCCACCTAATCGTTTTAAGTGGAAATGCTCGGGATTGAACTTAAAACCTTCTGCATGCAGAGAAGATGCTCTACCACTGAACCACGGACCCTCCCATTTCTACCAGGAAGATGCTGGGAGGGGGGAGGTTACCGCAGCCAAATCCCCCTGGGCAGCTGTTCCCCCCCCACACACAAGGTTGTTAATATCTCATATCTCCCACATAATATGTAATACATCCCGAGTTCCAAGACTAGCCAGGCCTACCTCACAGGGTTGGTGTGATGCTGCTCTGAGCTCCCGGGAGGGAGGGAGGAATGTAAGAGAAAAGGTAGCATATTTTATAAAAAATTAAATCCCAACAGGGTAACTGCTGATGAAGAAGAAGAAGAAGAAGAAGAAGAAGAAGAAGAAGAAGAAGAAGAAGAAGAAGAGGAGGAGGAGGAGGAGGAGGAGGAGGAGATTGGATTTATACCCCGCCATTTATACCCCGCCCTTCACTTGGAGTCTCAGAGCGGCTTACAAACTCCTTTCCCTTCCCCTCCCCACAACAGACACCCTGTGAGGTGGGTGGGGCTGAGAGAACTCTGACAGAAACTGCTCTTTCAAGGACAGCTGTGCCCGAGCTTGCGACTGACCTAAGGTCACATCAGCAGGTGCAAGTGGAGGAGTGGGGAATCAAACCCGGTTCTCCCAGATGAGAGTCCGCACACTTAACCACTACACCAAACTGGTTCTCCCCCAACCCTTCCCCGTGTCTCTGTTATCTCTTTAGATTGTCGGGAAGACTCACAAATCGAGACGAGTTGTCATTCCGCACTGTCTTGGCATTGCCAAAGGCCTCCAAGGCGGGGTTGGCCTGGATGATTTGATCTTCCAGTGTCCCCTGCAGATGGAGCAGAAGGTCAGAAGAGAAGCACTGGCAGGTAACCCATTAGACGCCTCTGCATATCCTGTCATCACCCTCTGCCATGGAGACGCTGGGAGCACCGGGGACTTGGGTGTGTTCCAGTTGCACAGACTGAACACAAGGGAAACATAGAATCAAAGAATCATAGAGTTGGAAGGGACCTCCAGGGTCATCTAGTCCAACCCCCTGCACAATGCAGGAAACTCACAAATACCTTCCCCTTCACACCTGCAGTGACCGCTGTTCCACGCCCAGAAGATGACTAAAAAACCTCCAGGATCCCTGGCCAAACCAGCCCGGAGAACAATTGCATCCTGAACCCAAAGTGGCGATTGGCATTTCCCTGGGCGTGTAAGAAAGGGCCACGAGAACTAAGCACTGAGGCAACCCTTCCTGCCCTCCCTCTCGTGATCTGGCCAAGTTCACAGAATCCGCATTGCTGTCAGATGGCCATCTAGCCTCTGTTCGAGAACCTCCAAAGAAGGAGAGCCCACCACCTCCCGAGGAAGCCTGTTCCACCGAGGAACCGCTCGAACTGTCAGGAAGTTCTTCCTCATGTTTAGCCGAAAACTCTTTTAATTTCATTTCAACCTGTTCGTTCTGGCCCAATCTTCTGGGGCAACAGAAAACAACTCTGCCCCATCCTCTATACGACAGGATGCCTGAGTCCCTGCAGCAGTAAGGGGCGGGGGGAGTCTCACGTGACTGAATGTTTCTGTATGGGGAAGAAAATCCACATACAGAGAAAGCTGACATGTCTGGGAGAACATGAGGCTCAAACCCTCTGCCTGACAAGCGTATTTCCTGTACAGAGAGCAGGCTCCCAAGTTGGCCACACCCAGCAGGAACTCATTAGCAAAATAGGCCACACCCAACAGCAGGAACTCATTAGGACTGGCTACATTCGGGGTGTGTGGCCTAACATGCAAAGGAGTTTCTGCTTCAAAAAAAGTCCTGGGTTTTGACAACAAAAAACGTAAACAGAATAAGAAGCAAAAGGTGGGTGTGGCTGGATGGCCACACTTCTGGCAACACGGGGTGTGGCCTAATATGCTAATGAGATGTGCTGTCATGGGTGTGGCCTAATATGCTAATGAGTTCCTGCGGGGCTTTTTCTACAAAAAGAGCCCTGACAGAGAGAATTGCTTTGTTGGGAGGAACATTCAGCTTGTAGTGGCTGTGAAATTCCTGGTGATTTTGTGGGGTGGAGCCTGGACAGGACAGAGTTTGGGGGCCTCAGCAGGGTATAATCCCGTAGAGCCCCCCCGCCAAAGCAGCCATTTTCTCCAGGGCAACTGATCTTTGTAGTCCGGAGAACGGTTCTAATTCTGGGAGATCTCCGGGCCCCACCTGGAGGTTGCAGCAACCCGAGCTGCAGTGTTAGGAGAGTCAAGTAACAAATAAATTATATGCCGCAAGAAACTTTTGTAAATTAACGTGTTCTGCTTATGACTATAATTCTATAAAGTGCATTGTGTGCTATTAGAGTATCCTTGTCAGCAGGGGTCATTTCGTAAAAAATGAGGTGCAGGAGCTCATTAGCACAACTCATTTGCACAACTCATTTGCATATGCCACACCCCCTGACATCACCGGAAGTGTGTCAAAAGGCAACACCCACCGCTCAGGCTCCACTGGACTGTTTTGGATTG